CCCACTGTCGACGGCTTTGTCACATATATTAGCCAATTGACGGGTATGTCGCCCGTGGGCTCCACCAATATCACCGAATCAGACCTGTCGGGCCCCCTGTCCAGTGAGCCGGAGCCCCGCTTTGACTACCTATTGCTGCTGTCGTGGATATTCGCGATCGTGTGCTTCTCCTACCTGTTCGCGAAGTCCAACCTCTTTAAGACCACTATTGAAGCCGTGAGAAACAACTGGAGAGAAGCCGAGGCACAGCACGAGCACATCGACTGAGGAGCTGCCGGTGCGAGCAATCGCTGGTGTATTACCCTATGTGTATAATATGTAGATTTTTTTATAAGCGTTTCCATAATTAAGTTATTAATTGAATTAAATGTTTGTTTGTTTTTTTTGTAATTTATTTTTGTTAATAGATTTTATTATCGATTTATACGCCACTGAATGTGTTTCGTCGGACTAATTGGCGAAACCATAATTTGTTTATGAAATTAGTTTTGATGAAATAAATATGAAATTTAATTATAAATGAACTCAATTTGTCTGTTAGTTTTGGGAAATGAATGTGTGTTTAAGGGCTGACTGTGTTATTACAGCACTCGTTATTAATTAAAGTCTTATGTCTACAGAATAGTGGCACGGAATGAGAGAATGAATAATAATATTCATAAAAAAAGACTTTATTTAACACAAAATATTACAACAAATTACACATTAAAAACCATTTGAGTTGAAAGTTTCAGATAAAATACAAAAGTGAGTAAAAAAGGTAGATATGAGTCAATCGATAGGTGCTGTCATTCATTCACAGGTTGCCTCTGAGCTCCTGTTCCGCTTCGATGGCCTCGAACAGGGCCTTGAAATTTCCGGCCCCGAAGCCGGTGTGGTTACGGCGTTGTATATATGAGTCAATCGATAGGTGCTGTCATTCATTCACAGGTTGCCTCTGAGCTCCTGTTCCGCTTCGATGGCCTCGAACAGGGCCTTGAAATTTCCGGCCCCGAAGCCGGTGTGGTTACGGCGTTGTATGACTTCCACGAATAGTGTCGGTCTGTCTTGCATTGGTTTCGTGAATATCTGCAACAGATAGCCGTTGTCGTCGTAGTCGACCAGAATGTTGAGCTCCTGGAGCACATCCAAGTCCTCCACAATCTTTACCTTCGATTGCTTCAGATTCTCTCTCAACTGCTTGTAATACGTGTCCGGAGTCTTCAGGAACTCCATTCCGCGAGCTCTCAACGCTTTCAGCGCTATTTTTTTGGAGATAATTGGTTAGCAAATGAATGGCAAGAATCTGTTTGTGAGCCATATTTACATTCAATAATATTGTTGGTGTTGAGGGCAATGTGTTGGATGCCGGCGCCGCCATAGTAGTCGATGTACTCCTGGATCTGTGACTTGCGTTTGCCGGGCGCCGGCTCGTTGATCGGCATTTTGATGGTCTCATCCCAATTGGTCACTACAATGGAGCGCAGGGATGAGTACTCGGTGTGGATCTGTTTGTCGTCGACGGACCAGAATCTGTGGAATAATAGACTTTTTTCGTACCACTGGGTGACGGACTCCATGGCGTCGTTCGGCTGATTGCCGACGCAGTGGTCAGTGAAACGGAGGCCAACCGGCGGTAGGGTCGACACGAATGCGGCCTTTTGTCGATGGGATAGGAGTTTGTGTTTTGGTAATCATTTGTTTACAGAATATTGTTTTGGAATAAATTATCATAAATTAAGCCATTTTTGGCACTAATACTGAAATTCTTGTTTTGAAAACTTATTTTGTTTAGAGTTGTGTTATAAGTGCGTAAAGTTTTAATACTCTGACATATAGTTATAAAAATAATTAAATTTTAATTCCTGTATAGTTCTAACTCAGAACTTCTAAGTATTTAAGAATACTTAGTATAATATAATTTCATAGCAAATATAGGTTTCGCTTACATCTAACGGTGAGGTCTTATAGTGGGGTAAATACAGGCCCTTGTATTGGGAGCGCTCCACAAACGTATGGGTGGTGTCGCCAAAAGTCTGAACGGTCGCCAACTTAATGGTCCCGAAGTTATCGGTCTCTTCGCGCACATCGCGGACCACAACCGCGCCCTTAGCCTTAGCTTTGGCTACAATAAAGTCGATGTTCTCCACACTGAAGGCGATGTCTTTGACGCCATCCCCGTGTCGGACCAAATGGGCGCCCATTTCGGCGTTTCCCGGGTTCAGCGCCGACTGGAACTCGAATATCACGTCATTCTGTCGGACGACGTGAGCGACCACTTCGCGTGAGCCGGTCTCGAGGCCCCGGTAGGCGAACGGCTTGAAGCCGAGGTGCACGCAGTAGTAGAGCGCCGCCTGTTTGGCGTTTCCCACCCAAAAGGTGATGTGATCGAAGTGCACGAATCGACCCGATTCTGGCTGTTGGCCCTTATCTGTGTACGAAGTCATTGCGAGTCCAGAATATTCCGGTACTCAAAGAATATTCTGCAGTGAAATGTGAGTTGCAATGGTTTTGAACACTTGTTTTTTGGGACACTTTTTAAAGACGTTAGGACGTGGTGTTCGCTGGCGATTGTCGATAGCCGGGGATCCCTTTCTACAAACAGTTACAAACAAACTGTGCGTCAAAGACGTGTCGCACCGATACCTTTATTGCACATTCTTTGCCACCGTATTGGCTGATTCGCAGCGCGATTCCTGTGGCAGGCCTTGAGAAGTCAGTTACCAGTGCCTCCACTGTCAGGGCCAACAACGCGATGGACAGGTATTCTCCATCACAACAACCACTCTCTCTCTCGCAGTCACTCTATTATTGGTGACACGTTTTTGCCGATAAAATTCGTACGAAATTATCATTTTTGTGATTCAATCGATAAACACCACTAAAAACATATTCTCGTAGTTATTCATTTCGCTAACAAATACCCCGAAGCTATTCATTAGTAATTCATTATGAACTCAAAACTGAACGCAACTTTTAGATATATTTCGTATAAAAAACTCATTTCTATCATTCATTAGTTACTCTATAATTGCATTTGCAAATGTCAGTCAAACAAATGAATTATAAAAGGACTTCACATTATAAGTAACTACTCATCAAAACACTCAAATAAATAACAACAAATGCAAACAATTCGTACGATTTATAACACATTTCACATGAATTTCTTTTATTCATAATTAAAATTATAAAAGAGACAAAAAAGTGCTAATTAGTCACAAACAAAAAAGTACTGAAATATTGAAATGTGAATCAAAAACAAAATGAATTCTTAAATCTAAGACAATATATGAATGGTTAAAGTCGCGAATAAATTGGGCGTAAAATGGTTGTCGCAAACGACACGTCCATTCAAATATGTGTTTAACGGCCTTCGACTGCGGAAAGGGATTAAAACAAAGACAAAACCATTAATAAGACACAAAATACCACACAATCTCAGCAACAAAACACATACTATAGGAGGAAATGTCGATCTCTTCGGGCAATTCGGGAATATTAACGTCGAAGCGGTCCTGAACTTCATTCAAGATCTTGGCGTCAGTCTCGTCCGACACGAAAGTGATGGCCAGCCCTTTGGTGCCGAAGCGTCCGGCGCGCGCCACGCGATGCAGGTATGTGTCGCTGTCCTCCGGCATGTCGTAGTTGAACACAATGTTCACTCTCTCGA